GGGATATTCTTGGACCCCTTGAAGTCAATAGCCTTCATGATAAAGATCTTGAGATCTCTATCTATCTGTATCTATCTATGTATACACACATACAGATTTAGAAGCAGATACGTGGGTCTAGCCAAAGGTCAGGATATTGAACCCTCGAAGCATCTGTATGAATGACAGTTTCCACCTAAGAAATAGTATCCTGACGTCCCCTCAGCTCGGGTGAGTGATGGCTGACCCAGCCACTGTCTCCTAGGCAGTCTTGGAGCCGCTGGATGCATGTAGCTGGTTGTTCTCTGTCAGCCTGTGAAGCTGTTTACAATGTTAAGTTGTCAGAGACGAGAAATGGCCAGAAACCAGCTAAATCAAAAAGTGGAAGTCAGAAAACCAAACTGGAAACTCCAAGCACAGTGAAGACATGCTTTAGACTTACTCTGTCCTCACCAACCTCAGATGACACAGGAAGAATCCCAGAAGAAAGTTTGCAGGGGCCAGCAGATGGCGTGGTGGCTGGGGCACTGGACTCCCACATGGCCGACCATGGGTTAAATCCCAGACTTGGTGGCTTGTTTTCTCACTTTCACTCTCCTCTCTGTCTCTCTTTGGTCAAATTTAATAATAATAATAAAACTAAGTAAATAATAATAAAAAAAAAAGTTTGGAAATAGGTTGCTTAAAATCTTTTAATCCAGTAAAGTCTTTTCTAAGTGCAAGAATATCAGTTTCATCCTTTTGCTACAGGGCATGTGCATGAGAGAGAGAGAGAAAGTGAGAAACCAACCCACCAGGTCAGGGACTCGAACTGTGGTCAGCCATGTGGTATAGCTTAACGATCACACCATCTGTTGGCCCTTTAGGCCAGCCTCTTAATCACCTATCTCCATCATTTCTATTCACTCTACAATATCTCCTGAACAGCTCTCGTGTTTTAGGTTACGTAAAGGTGGTGACAAGTTGAGTGAGACACAGTCCTGACCTGGAAGGGCTGATGACCTAGTCAGGAAAAACTATTTAGAGAATGGCAAGTAATGGGATGCATGCTAAAAGTCACATGAGGACACATGGAATGTGGACTCAGTCCTGTGCAAAGTAAGAAAGATAAAAAAAAGGGGGAGGGTTGAATTCTTAATAAACCATAGACTACCAGTGCTGGGAAGGATTTTATAGAGAATCTGCTCTAACGCGCTCCTGTTCCAATGAAAGATGGAGAGAAGAGGTCATACAGGGTTTGTTGAGATTTTTGCCATAGGGCACTCACTGGAGAGAGACAGAGAAAGTGAGACATCACCCCCCAGGGACGGCCACGCCTCAATCTCTTCTCCATTCTCCTTTCAGAATTTTAGGCATGCACATGAAGCCAGCATGTCTTTCAAGCCTGGTTTAGGACTCCAAGCATGGAGCTGGCCCTGTGGAAACCAGTGCCTTAACCAACATGCCTTCTGTGGTCCAAGGTCACAGAACTTTTTTTTTTTTTTTTAAGTTTTTGTCAGAGGGCACCTGCTCTTGCCAGAGAGTGACAGAGAGAGGGAAAGTGAGAAATCACCCCGGGGAGATGGCCGCGATGCAATCCCTTCTCTTCCTGGGATTTAGGACCCCCCCACATACACACACAGACACACACACACACACGTGTCCAGCATGATTTTCAAGTCTCCAGGTCAAGGACTCAAACTGGGGTCAGCCATGTAAGAGTCCCAAGCCTTAACCATTAAGCCACCGACTGGCCCCTGTCACACAGTTATAAAATGGGGACTGATATAGCAGATTCTTTCTCCTTTCCTGGCTGTTGACTTGTCGTATGGTTCTCAATTTGTTTTTGGAAGTAGGTACAATGGAAATCATAAATATGCTACTAAAAACATTGTTTTGTTTTCCAACTAAAAATCTACAATATATACCTTATCAATATATGTGTGTGTATGTGTGTGTGTGTGTGAGTGTATATAAATATATTTTTAGAAGTTTTTGCTATAGGGTGCATGCGCTCGCCAGAAAGACAGAGAGAGACAGAAAGACAGAAAGCGAGAAATCACCCCTCAAGGACGATGGCCACGCCACAATCCCTTCTCCTCCATTCTCTCGGGATCTTGGGCACGCACACACACGTGCCTGGCGTGAGTTTAACCCACCAGGTCTGGGACTCAAACCGTGGTCAACTATATGGAAGTCCAGCGACATAGCCATTATGCTAACTGCTGGTCCCTATCAATATATATATGAAGAAAACAGCCTGCCAGTGGGGTGGTGGGTAAGATGGCTGGATCCCACAAGGCCAGTTATATGGTTTGAGTCCCAGAACTGGCAGCTTGAAACACTCACTGGGCACATGAGCCTATGCCCAGAGTCCCAAAAGGAAGGCAAGGTGGAGGAGAAAGGAGTAGCATGATCGTTTCCCATGGGAGGCAGCAATGCTTTCTTCCTTTCTCTCTCTGTTTCTCTCCATCTCTCCAGCAAATGCATTTACCCAGTGGCAAAAACCTAAAAAGTAAAACAAAACTATTCTAAGATAGTTTTGGGGCCAGTTGGTGGCATGGGGGGTAAGGTGCTGGACTCGCACATGAATGACTGCTTTCAAGTTCAAAACCTGGCAACTTGCTTTCTTACTTTCTCTGTCTCTCTCCGGTGAGCACTATGCCCTATAGCAAATTTTAAAAAATAATTATAATAAAGAAAATTAAGTTATTTACTTATTATTTATTTATTATTTATAAACAATTTAGAGAAAAGATTACTCTCACCAATTTATTTCACGTGCCTCATCTGAATATTTTAAAGCCATTCTTTACCCCATCATTCCTCTCACTATTCTTAGCTATTATGGTCCTTTATGGAAAACTCATCACTATTTTTGCTGTTTTCTTACATTTACACTGCACTTCTGAGGTTAAAAAGTTTTAAACAGGAGCCAAGAGGTGGCATTGCAGTTAAGATGGCTGGATCCCACAGTTGGAGTCCTGGCCCGAGTGGTCTGGAAAACATGCCAGTGTATGTGTGTTTGCCCAAATCCCTAAGAGGAGTGTGGAGAAGAGGTCACAGCATGGCCATCCCCGGGGGGCATTTTCTCACTTTCCCTCTCTCTGGAGAGCACATGTACCCTACAGCAAAAACAGAACACAGAAAAGAAAGCTTTACACCCATTGTCTGCATTTTGGGCGTGGAGTTGTAGACGGGCTTGCTTTAGGAGGGTGTGATATGATCAACACGAGGAGGTTCAGAATGGAGCCATACACATGGTAAAAGTCAGTGAGCAAGACCCGCAACGCAGGAGAACGGGGCCAGGGTGCTGGGGGCTGCTCTTGCGGAGCGACATGACCAGAGGAGGGCTGGGAACGGACTTCAGGTTCATGAAGTCTGGTGAACTGGAACAGAGCAGTCTGCACACGCATGAACAACTCCTGTGCGCAAGGCACCAGGTGAAGTGGATCCGAAGATGAGTTATCCAGGCACCCCCTTCACAGAAGCGGGTTTTGGACGACTGCAATCTCCTGAAGCCGCAGGCCGTGGAGGGCACAGGTGAGCAGAAGCCACACGGCAGAGAAGTGGGTCTGGCAAACTTGAGGTGTGCGGCCTCGGCTTCCACGGAAGGTTTGGACTCGCCCTTGCTAATGACAGGGGAGGGAGGAAGGGCTGAGGTTCCTCGTGGAAGGGAGGAGCTTCACCAACAGGCCACTGTCCTCAGTCAGGCTGAGGTGATGGTAATGGCAGACCTGAGTGTCGACCTTGAACACCTTCCAGGTTGAACCCGTGGGCAGTACTTCGTTTTAAAGCCACTGGGTGAGTTCTCGTGACTGAGTTTCTATGGACTTTATAGACAATGGGTTTATTTTGTTTTCAGGTTTTTGCCTTAAGGTGTATGTGTCCACCAGGGAGACGGAGAGGGAAAGTGACCAAATGAGCATAAGAGGGTCTCTCTCAAAGGGACTTCGTGGTGGTCTACATAAAGCCTTTGCCTATTGTCTGGATACGCTGTAAGAGATGAGACAAATGACTGGGAACGTGGGACATTAGGGGCATAATCTCCTTTCGACCTTTAAGAATGCACCGATTCCCACGTGCCGTAGGTCTCCCGGAAGTCTCCGTTTTTGGAAAGCACGCGTTTGGGCATGGCAGCTCTGGTCACTGCAAGCCGGTGAGGCCCCTGGCTGCAGGTGCACAGGGGTGCCGGGAGGAGAACTCATAACAGGAATCAAATTCAGCAATCAAGGGGATTCTCCTGAAAATGATTTAGTCATTCACGCACCCATCGAACATGTGCCATTATGGGCTCTGTGGGTCCTGCAAGGCCTCCGGAAACAATGACGAAAAGTCCCTGTGCTCGGGGCTACCACAGTCTTCCAGGACGTATGCAGTAAACGCCCAGAGAGATGGAGGGGCCCTGAGGGTCCACATAGGAAAGTGGCGCTTCCGGGCATAGTGAGAAGGCGGGAAAGTGGGGCTGCCGAGGCTTGACGGAAAAGGTGACACTCCAGCTGGGTCCTGACAGGTGAGCAGGAAGGAATTTCTCAGAAAGGGGAGGCAGAAGCTGAATGGGGAGCAGTGTGTGCGGGGACAGAGTCCTGACACTGCACGTGCAGCGAATATGAGGCCAGTGAGTCGAAAAGGCACCAAAGCCCACCCCACGCTCTGCTAAAATTCATGGGGGTTTTATTTAAAATAGAAGCATTCCCAGGCTGGCCCTGTGGCCTGGAGGGTTAAGGGAGCCAGATTCCCACATGGCTAAATGCACGGTTTGAATCCTGGCACCAGCAGCTTGGAAAACATGTCAGGTGTGTGTGCAAGCGTGCTCCAAATCCCAACAGAAGGCAGCAATGGACAAAAGGGATAATGGCATCACCACGCCCCACGGGGAGGTGATTTCTCACCTTCTCTTTCTCCTGGCAAGCACATGAGCCCTCTGGCAAATTAAAAAACGAAGAAAGAAAAAAAGAAGAGAAACATTCCCACCAAAGTAGTTAAGAATCTCAGAAGAGATGATTTCACAGCTAAAATAAATGTTTTCTTCATTTCCCCCAAATAAATCTTTCTCTTTCCCAAATGGTTGAATGATGATCTTTTTTCCCCTGAAGCATATTTTTTATCTCTGTTGGAAAACAAGTGTCTTTGCAAAGTCCATTTGGGCCCGACAGATGCCACTCAGAAGCAGCCCAGAGCCAGGACGCCTTCGTTGGACCATCCAAGTAATGGCTTCATCTTCTCTACACCACCCCAACAAATGGCGTGAGCCCAGTCCTTCAAAGCCAGTCAAGAGATCCTTCGGGGCTTCTAAACTCCACGTGAACAGGCACGGACCCATTCTGTGCGGCTTCATCTGTTCTTTCTGTTATTCTCCGAGGACAATGGAGGGCGAATGTAGCCAGGGCTCCTTTCACGAAGGCACAAAAGGAGGAGGAAATTTTGTCTATTACTTTGACAAGAAACTGGCCAAATGCAGTGACCTAAGGCCAAAAAAACTGCCACTGTTTATCACCAGTGCAAACAGGCCAAGAAGAGGTACAGTGGACTTAGTAAGACCACGGCACAGGGGCCTAGGAAAGGCACGGGCACGCGTGTTAAAGGAGCCTTAGCTTCTCCTTCTCGAGGTAGAATTGGTCATCTTAGGAAATGGCAGAAGCAGAGCTAAGGTGACAGAGCGCGGTGCGGATCTATCACTGAGGTGTGGCCCTTGAGAAATAAGTACTTCAGCAGCGTTTGCATGTTCAGAACTCATGGCCCAGCACCTTTTCTCCTCAGTGGTTCAGTCCCAGGATGCACGTCTGTGGGGTCCTCTCTCCCAAGTAAGGCAGGACCTGTGACTGGCTTCTAACCACTACGGTGGCAGCAATGGTGGGCTGTCACTCCCATGATCACCTTTTCTTTTCTTTTTTTTTAAAGAATTATTTATTAAGTTTCATTTGTTATGATTATTTTTTAATTTGACCCGAGAGAGAGAAAGGGAAAGTGAGAAAGCAAGCCGCCAGGTCTGGGACTCGAACTGCAGTCGGCCATGTGGGAATCCAGTACCTTTAACCATCATGCTACCTGCTGCCCCCCCCCCACCATGATTACTTTTACTAAGACTATAGCACGAGTCCTCCTAGCAGGCTCTCTGTTGACTGCCTCCATTTTTGGCTTTCATGCGAATGGGCTGCCGTCTAGTTCCTTGGCATGGCAAGGAACTAAGGATGGCCTCTGGCTGATGGTCCATGAGGAGCCGTGACCCTCAGTGCAGCCACCATCAAGGGCCTGGATCCTGCTACCAGCCGCTACCAGCCGCATGGGCTTGGAAGCAGAGACCGCCCCATTCAAGCTTCAGATGAGATCCCCGCCCTGACTGGTACCTGGATTAAAGCCTTGTAACAGAGCCTTTAACGGGGTCAGACAAGCTGTGCTTGGATTCCTAACCAACGGAAACTGTGAGGTAATACACGTGTGTTGCTTTAAGTCACTAAATTGGTGCGATTATTTGTTACGCAGCCATAGATAACTAATACAAAGACATAGTGGGCATCTTCTATTCCCTACATCTTGTAAGCATGACAATGATCTCCTTATGCCATCAGCATTATAAAAAAATCAAAACCACTCCATCTTGACACAGACAAGCACATCATAAGCTGCCATCACTCTGCTGAGCTGTTCATCATTTACCTGTCTAGAATTCCAAGGGTACTTGTTCTATGTTTAGATTCTCATTCAGTCAGACCTCATTTCCAGGCTTTGACTGCTGAGTGCAAACACTGTACTCCCCACACACTCACGTCCACACTCACACACTCGCGTCCACACTCACACACTCACGTCCACACACACTCACGTCCACACTCACACACTCACGTCCACACTCACACACTCAGGCCCTGCACTACAGAATCTAGTTAGGGACCCACCTGAGATGGAATGTCTCCAGCAGGAAGAAGACGTGGCTGAGATAACCTGAGGACACAACGCGGGAGGCTTTGGTTTATTACAGGTACCGTTGGTTCTGAGGCATGAGTGAAGCAGAAGAATTTGCAGACATGAATTAAGCCCTAGAACAATTTCATCTAGCTAGGAAGTCCCGTTTCTACACTAAAACACATCGAGGCCATCTCTGATGACTTTACAGCTGCGAGGGAGATCGGGCCTCTCTTACCTCCAGGTTGGCTCAGAGGGAGGGTAAGAACCTTCGTAACCTGCACACTAACACATTTTGTTCCTTTCCAAGTCTGTTTTTCCAAGTAAATTCCCAAGTAAAACCACTGTGTGTCGTCTCACGCTGGACATGAACGGACTAGGGCCAAAGTTTGGGAACCATCCGTCCCAGAACCTTGCGGAGAAATACTGTCCACAGCGTCTCCTGAGGGGCAGGGCTGGGAAGGCTGAGATGGGTGGACCCCAGCTTCTACCACAGGGCTTTCTAAGCTGGGGTGAGGGGGCCCCACAGTTACTGCAAGTGCTGCTGCAGCTGGACTTAGGGGCAAGATGACAGCGGCTAGAGGTGAAGGTCCTTGCTGGGTGGAGGGGGCCAGCCTGGCAGTCTCACTAAGTGGTTTGAAGGAAGGGAGGGAGCCTGAATTCCTGCCCTAGAGGCCTGGCTCCAGCACCGCCAGCTCCCAGGGATCTCCCGGGACTTCCGCCTTGTGGCTGAAGGAGAGATGAGACCCACCGGCATCTGAAAGGAACCTGCAGACGCAGGACGAGATGGCAAACTACAACCCACACATCACAGCCAAGGGGCGTCTTCAGTTCCTCGAGCCTGGGGGGATTTAGAGAGAGAAAAATCTCGGGTAACCCCTCTAAAACCCTAGCAAAAGGCTGAGTTCGGCAGCGGATTAATGGACATTTCTTGATGAACTGATTTAAGCTTTAAAAGTCTCACCCTGCTCGAGGCCCCCGCAGCAGGCTCTCGGAGTCCCAGGTTAAGAGTGAGGCGTCCGTCATTCAGGTTCGGGGCCAGCGGCGGGGCAGGGCTGCAG